TTGTCATTGTCTGCCCAGGGAATGTTGTCATTGTCTGTCCAGGTAATGTTGTCATTGTCTGTTCAGGGAATGTTGTCATTGTCTGCCCAGGGAATGTTGCCATTGTCTGCCAAGGTAATGTTGTCATTGTCTGTCCAGGTAATGTTGTCATTGTCTGTCCAGGGAATGTTGTCATTGTCTGTCCTGGAAATGTTGTCATTGTCTGTCCAGGTAATGTTGTCATTGTCTGTCCAGGGAATGTTGTCATTGTCTGTCCTGGGAATGTTGTCATTGTCTATCCAGGTAATGCTGTCATTGTCTGTCCTGGGAATGTTGTCATTGTCTATCCAGGGAATGTTGTCATTGTCTGTCCAGGGAATGTTGTCATTGTCTGTCCTGGAAATGTTGTCATTGTCTGTCCAGGTAATGTTGTCATTGTCTGTCCAGGGAATGTTGTCATTGTCTGTCCTGGGAATGTTGTCATTGTCTATCCAGGGAATGTTGTCATTGTCTGTCCTGGGAATGTTGTCATTGTCTGTCCAGGGAATGTTGTCATTGTCTGCCCAGGGAATGTTGTCATTGTCTGTCCAGGGAATGTTGCCATTGTCTGTCCTGGGAATGTTGTCATTGTCTGTCCAGGGAATGTTGTCATTGTCTGTTCAGGGAATGTTGTCATTGTCTGTCCAGGGAATGTTGTCATTGTCTGTTCAGGTAATGTTGTCATTGTCTGTTCAGGGAATGTTGTAATTGTCTGCCCAGGGAATGTTGTCATTGTCTGTCCAGGTAATGTTGTCATTGTCTGTTCAGGGAATGTTGTCATTGTCTGCCCAGGGAATGTTGCCATTGTCTGCCCAGGTAATGTTGTCATTGTCTGTCCAGGTAATGTTGTCGTTGTCATTGTCTGTTCAGGGAATGTTGTCATTGTCTGCCCAGGGAATGTTGCCATTGTCTGCCCAAGGAATGTTGTCATTGTCTGCCCAGGTAATGTTGTCATTGTCTGCCCAGGGAATGTTGCCATTGTCTGCCCAGGGAATGTTGTCATTGTCTGTTCAGGGAATGTTGTCATTGTCTGCCCAGGGAATGTTGTCAGTGTCTGCCCAGGGAATGTTGTCATTGTCTGTCCAAGTAATGTTGTGATTTTCTGTTCAGGAAATCTTGTCATTGTCTGCCCAGGGAATGTTGCCATTGTCTGCCCAGGTAATGTTGTCATTGTCTGTTCAGGGAATGTTGTCATTGTCTGCCCAGGGAATGTTGCCATTGTCTGCCCAGGGAATGTTGTCATTGTCTGCCCAGGTAATGTTGTCATTGTCTGCCCAGGGAATGTTGTCATTGTCTGTCCAGGGAATGTTGTCATTGTCTGTCCCTGGAATGTTGTCATTGTCTGTCCCTGGAATGTTGTAATTGTCTGTCCAGGGAATGTTGCCATTGTCTGCTCAGGGAACATTGTCATTGTCTGTTCAGGGAAGGTTGTCATTGGATGACCTTAAGAGCTTGCCATTGTTCGTCTCGGGAATGTTGCCATTACTTGACCAGGGGATGATGTGATTGTCTGACCAGGGAATGTTGCCATTATCTCACCAGGGACTGTTATATTGTCCATTTAGGGAATATGTTGCCATTGTCTGACCAGAAGATGTCGTGATTATTTGAACAGGGTATGTTACCACTGTTTCAACCGGGAATGTAACCATTGTCTAACAATAGTATTTTATTGTTGTCTAACCAGGGAATGTTGCCATTTTGAACTAAGGGATGTTGACATTCTTTTACAAGGGAGTGTTTTGACTATTTTGTCAGGTGTTAATTGCCATTCTAAGGAATGTTGTCATTTCCCAACTAGAGGATGTTGCCTTTGTATTACAAGTTACTGTTGATATATTGTCCAATA